AAACTTGTTGTCCTCTTTCCAAGAACTAGCCACATGAAAAATAGTTTTAGTTATCGCGGCGCAACCCTTTAGAATAGCTTACCCTGTAACATTACAGAGTCTGGTTCATTAAACCAAATTTGAACGCCTTCTCTATCATAATTTTTAAACACGGCATTCACGGAAATCAGGTTTTTAAGAGGCGCATTGTTGCAATTCAATATAATGTCAGGATTGCAATTCAATATAATGTTGGGATTAGAATTTTTAGGCTCTTAGGGTATTATTCATTGTATTGGAATTTTTTGTACCGGATGAATTTTTTTTCCGCGTATAAATAATGATTAAATAAATTAATTAATTAAGTTGACGAGAAAAAAAAAGGAACGAACTAAATGACCCTGATGACGACGAAAAACGTTTTAACCCTTAACGAGAGCGAATTCAAAGATAACACAATGAATAAGCATGTTAACAATGTTATATATTATTCTTTTGTGCCTCTGTGTATTCACGCGCTCGTCTGTATTTTAACCCCTGTTTATTAGTCGTTTTGTCCCAGTAAATTTGCTGAAACTTGTTATTAGGCTGCCTCATCTAAATCTATATTGAAGAAAATAAGCACCCGAGCACCATTTGTTATAATTGAAGATCTGCACATAAAAATCCGCGAGGAATCTAAACGTGCGCAATTTAATTATTTCCCTATAGAATATTCAAATCACAGAAAAAAGTGATCTTATTTAATAACAACAAAATCTATAGGATATGTGTTAACAAATACACACATCATTAACTGGTCTTATGTACTGGTAACTTCTACTTTTTGTCTTCTGTTGTGAAATGACGTTCATTTGCAAGGATTTCGCATATGGTGCAGAGAATCCAGCTCTTATCTTCATCTTTATCGCTCTCTTAATTCGCAAAAATTCCTTAGGATATATCTCGTGCGGCCGTCAAAAGTTGACATGTTGAAAATTGAAATGAAGTTTAAAACGTCTGAGTCTTGAAATTTAATGCCCCTTTTTCATATTTGCCTTTTGAAATCGCGAAAATAAAACCCCGTAAAATATCGTCTCCCCAGAATCGCAAACTAAGTTAAGTATCCGCGAAATTTTAATCAAATTTAAAATCATTGAGTTAAAAGTAACCTCTAAATAAAAAAAGAAAAAGCTGAGTGAGAATCGTCAATTGTCCTTTTTATTTGCGTGAAGACTTTGGGAGGCCGTGGGAGATGTCACTGAAATGTTCTCATATTTTGTTGTACTTCCTCTCCTAACGAAGAACTTGACGCAGAATTCAGTTATTATTGTTTGCCCAACTTTCTCGATTTTGATTAGCTTAACAGGACATTTCATATAGAAATCAGGCTTGTTGACAATTTTAAGTTGT